ATGATATATATGGGTATCTATGGGACACTAACCAGTTATTATATATAGTGAATAGAGAAACAGCATTGATGATCCTACGGTATCTGAATTTAAGTGATCGAAATCCGACCACAGTTTTCTTGGATCAGATTTGGCATCTTGTAATTTTTTTAGATAAAATTGGCGTTTTGCTTCTCTAACTAGATTGATAAAAATATTTTTATATTCATTATACGAACTTGAGTCATTTATTTTAACAGTGAGTAGATCTGATCAAAAGAAATGTTTTTTCCTTTAACATTTTTGTGCTAAAATTAAAGTAACAAAGTTATAGCCCTTTAGAAGTTTGAGTACCGCCCTGTCTCAATAATAATATTATGTGCTCGTGTTTGGCAACCACGGATATAATCCGCCTTATCGGTTCATCGCATCGGAAACAAAAAAGCGAAAGAATTTGAAACGCTTATCACGATGTTTTTACTACAATTTTATTCAGTTGTATTCAGTCAATGTGTCAGTCGGTAACGCGTGAGTGATTAGTGGTGTTTGTTGCGTGGCTCAAACGAAATAAAAAATGGCACATGTTTACGAAAATGCTGAACTTGTGGACATGATTCTTATTTACGGGGGGGAGGGAGTCTTTACAAAATGGTGCCGCGGCATCACGGATTTATGCAGATAGGTTTCCCAATCGAGTGCAACCAACCCCTCGTGCCTTTGTTAATGTAGTACAAAGGGCTCGTGAATCAGGTGACTTAAGACCTCTAAGGGGAGGGCATGCCGGTGCTCCAAGACCGCACGATCAAATACAGGTCCGCACTGAAATACTTGTCGGGAGGATACTTTATAAAACAATGTAACTTTTATAATAATATTTTTTTTATTTTACACACATATTCTGGTTTATCTTCCTTCTACAATCATTATCTGACAATTAATGACTCAACTTCAAAGTCACCCTGTATTTACGGAAGGTATCTGCACCGGTGATGCCTCCATCATTTTGTATAGTTCCTCTTTTTGGTTGGCAGACTTTATCAAACCTTTGGTTATCCAGGGATTCCTGCTTCTGTCAAAATGTTTAATTTTAACTCGGTTAGTACTACATACAATTAAATGCTCTATGCATTCAATGTGTGTGTTTGCAGCATCATTAACATTTGTTGCACAGTATATAACGCTGTCCACGATTCTAATTTGATATTCGCAAGTAGTTTTTTATTATCGACAAAACACCTAAATTTCACTGTTTCATTATTGAAGGTGGATCTACTATTATTTTTTTCTGGTGATGATATAAGTATTACAGTGGGAAAATCACCGATAATGTGGTTTTCAACAATTAATGGATATACCGAAAAAAATTGAAAATTTTTTGATGAAACGATGATCAATGCAAGACCTAGAACTACTATTGACTACTCTTGTTGGTTAATTTATATGTAATATGAATCCGTTGCTCTGAATTACAGTGAGGTATTTGTTGACTAATTTGGTATCTTGCAGCATAAGTATTAATTTTCATGTCTTGTATTATGATGTGGTGTGACTGTGTGGCATTTTTGTTATCTGACAAAAATTTTTCAAGATTTTCTACAAATGTATACTAAGTGACATATAAATCCGAACACCCGGTTTAAATGGTTTTATTTTAATAAAAGTTGGTGAATGTATTTATCTTACTGTAAATAACAAGTGAAGAAATTTTCAGCCTTATCAGTTGGACATTCCGGTTTTTATACTGCTTTTTTTTAATTCATTAACGCTTTAAAAATGAATATTTCAGCCGCAGTAAAGAATCAACGTTGGCGAATTTTGGTTCTTGACGTCCTTTACGATCGGTTACGATGCCTAGAGTACGGAGACCTGTACGATTTCGTCAACTTAGTGAGTTTAATAGGGGCCGTATAGTGGGACTTCGGGAAGCTGGACTTTCTTTTTGGGCAATTGCAGTTAGAGTGCAAAGAAGTGTAGAAACTGTGGTTAGGTGTTGTCAGGCATGGCTTCGAGAAGGCCGTACGCAAAGAGCAAGGGGCACTGGACGCCGCCGTAGAACAACAGACCGTGAAGATCGCCGCCTAAGATTATTGGCCTTAAGGGACCGTTTCTCCACTACCAGGTCCATTGCAAATGAATGGTTTGCAGAACATGGAAGACCTATTGGCATGCGAAGTGTTTACCGACGAATGAGAAGTTTTGGCTTGTTTTCATACCGGCCACACTGGGTCCTCCCTTTAACTCGAGAACACCGACGTAATCGCCTTGAATGGTGCAGACAACGGTCACTCTGGGATCAGGAATGGAATAGTATTGTCGTTAGTGACGAGTCTCGATTTTGTTTACGCATGCACGATGGTCGTGCCAGGGTTAGAAGGCGACGTGGTGAAAGGAGGAATCCACCCACAGTTTTTTGTTGAAAGACATGTTTATCACACTGTTGGAGTTATGGTTTGGGGTGCTATAGCTTATGGTTCCAGGTCACCTTTAATCTTCATCAGAGATAACATGAACGCGCAGCACATGTTGCAAGAGTCACAATAGACTTCTTTCAACATAATGATGTCACATTGTTACCATGGCCACCAAGATCTCCCGACTTATCCCCAATTGAGCACGTGTGGGATATGATGGGTAGGAGATTGCTCAATTTGCAACGTCCTCCTCAGACTCTAGAAGCACTTCGAGAGGAGTTGGTGGTTGCCTGGAATGAGATACCACAGGAGGACGTTGACCACCTGATCAGAAGCATGCCTAGGCGCGTTGGAGAATGCGTAGCACATCAGGGTGCATCCACACATTATTAAAGGTCAAAGGGCTTTAAAGCAGTGCAATCATTTTGAAATTTTTATCATTTACTTATTATGCTTCATTAAGTACTTATACAAAATTTTATTAAAATAAAACCATTTAGACTGGGTGTTCGGATTTATATATCACTTAGTATATATGTTATGGTGGTCGATAGAAAGATGTGACTTTTACACCTTTGTTATTAATTCTCAATATCAAATCCAACGCTGTGATACCATCATTAACTTTAACAAAATCACATCTGTAGTTAATATCATTTCTTACACATACCACCACCCCTATCATTCTGATTGTACGTACCATTATTGTAAAGCGTATCATAACCATCCAAATAAAACAAAGATACATCATTAATTTGCCAAGTTTCTGTTAATATTATTATATCAAATTTGCGTTTAATTGTAGACAGAGAGATATTAAAATTTTGGTTTAGGCTACGTACTTATATTCATCTGATATAAACTAACATTGAAATTAGAATTTTCTAACCATTTATTAAGTGCATTTGTATCTTGAGCATTATTCGTATTGATATGATTAACCTGAAACGTAAAAAGGACTAAACGCTCAAAACAGTATTCTGGATGAATACTGTATTTGAAAATATAAATAGGACGGGCACTTTTTGTCTGTGGGCGAGTGATCAACATCATTATTCTTAGTATGCTTAACGTTATAGTTCATACAGTTAGAACATCTTAAAATGTTTACAGTAAAAACTTCACTTCTATGTGCTTGTCCACATTTAATAAATATACGATCAAACAAAACAGAAATCAGGAACACCAACAAAATATTCATCAAAGTAGAAAAAAATCGTAAATTTACTTAGGGTGCAGGTAATTTAGAATTTAGTATACCAAATTATAATCACCTTTTTTGACAATTGTTTACACTTTTTCTAAGAAACCAATACATATCTCAACTTTGTGACCGTTTTACAGTCTTTGGTAATTAGTCTGTTTAACAAAATAGCTTCTAATTATTAATTATTAAGTAATCAGTCACAATAATCACAAATCAGTATTTAGCCTGAATTTATACTTGGTGTTCTTAGTTATTGTTCTTACAATAATCACAGACATTCACACCTGATTCATAACCACTACAATTCGCATATTAAGCAACCTATTCCAAATTAACAACATGACATCCCAACTTAAAATCCCATGTTACACTTTTAATTCTAAATATATTTACAAAATCAAAATAAAATTGTAAGACTTGACCTATCATAGTAAATGATTTTATCAATGATTGCATTCTTACCGAAAAAGATTTCAAAGTAGAGGTCTCGTTTCCGTGTTTCAGGAAATATCAAGATGGCGTCCTGTTTCTAGTACTTGGGTTTTGGTGTGATTTACGACATGATATTTACGGCAAAAAAATACAGATAGCGTTTACATTTACTTAAATAACTAAGTATTCCAAGTTACGTACAGTATTCCAAATATGCTGCACTTCCTCTATATGTAGAAGATAATTAATTTAATGAATTTTCGATTTGAGTTCAATAATATGTTGTTTAAAGTCTTTCGGTACGTGTTCATATACTTTTCGAGGCAAATAGAGAAAATATCGCTACATTATGGTCTTATGCGGCTTAGGAACAGTTTTTGCCCGTACCTAATCAATATCAAGCATTAAGGGTAAAGGTTCGGGGAAATCTGTGATGAGTGAAACATGTCTAAATAGGTGCGTTGAATTACCAGGGTTGGAGGCGTATAAATAAACCAACCTCAAAAATTAAGATATACATTCCCCACCCCTGCAACTACCAACCTCCAATTTTTAATACCTACAAAAATGTCTCCGAAAATGACCATTAGCCTCTGAAACGTCAAAAAACCAATTTTTGATGATTTTCATTTATTTTCCACTGGACCAATTTTCAAAAACTACAAAGCTCTTTCGTCTATACATGCAGACACATCCTGTAAGAAGGGTTTTGACAACATTGTCACATTTGCGAGCTATTAATTTTTCTGAGATTTGTTGGCGAGGAAAAGTTGTTAAAAGATGAAAGTTGACCCAGGAGGATCAATAGACGACGCAGTTCCACATACTAAGAGGAAAGAGCTGAGCGGTGGCGGAAAGCAAGCAGAACCAGAAAAAAAATGAGCTCACTGATGCAGATGTCATCGGAGCAGAAAACGAACGAAAAACTGATGCTGATTATAGACGACCAGGCGAGGCAGATTCTGGAGCTAATGGAGACCATCAAGGACCAGACAGCCAAAATTGACAGCCTGACCGCCCAGGTAACAATATTACTAAATTCAAAAGAATCCCCTAAAGAACGGACAAAGACCCTGAAAAGACCACTGAGAAACGTTACTGATGATCATCTCACATCCACAGACGAAGACGTACAGACCGAAGGATTTGTAAAAGCAAAATCAAGTAGGAGGAAAGGCGACAAGGCTGATCGATCAACCCAAAACTTTCCTCCTCTTCCGAATACAGGATCAATACCATTTCACACCTCCCCCAATTCATCAAATCGAAACACCATTAATGCCTCTACTACGAAGTCAGGGACCCCGTTATCTACCTGTCAGGTGACTCCGTCAGCCGATGTTACTTCTCCTCCGTCATCTCGTCCAACCGTCGTGGCATCAACACAACCCTCACGACAAGGGCGCATAACCCCGATCGTCTTACGCGACGGGACGAGATGGCGTACTTTAAATTTCAAGTTTATTTCCCTAGGTATTAAAATAGATCGCGCGGTTGCCGTCGATGCAGGAATAAGGATTATTCCTAAATCCGAGGACGACTACCGTAAGATCGTTCGCCTATTCCGAGAGGAAGAAGTGCCCCATCACACTTTTCCTCTCCCTTCAGAACGGAACATCCATGCGGTGGTTCGAGGAGTTCCCGTCAACTTTTCGGATACTGAGCTTAAGGGAGAACTGGAGCAGAGGGGATATAGCCCTCTTCACATCATTCGATTGAAGTGCAGCGGCGGCGCGCCCATGCCTTGGGTGGTCGTGATACTGCCCAAGACTGAAAAGTCTCAGCAAGTGTTCAACGAACACGAACTGCTGGGACTGGCCATTCGAGTTGAGGTTCAGAAGAACTCCAGACTCAATGGGCAGTGACACCGCTGCCAAAAGTATGGGTATGCGCAGTCATATTGCACTGCACCGCCCAAATGCTTAAAATGTGCAAAGGACCACATGACGCATTTGTGCCCCCTCACAGAAGAGGAGGAACGCAAGTGCGCGAACTGCGGAGAGGGACCTGGCAACCGCGCTAAGGTCCTTACAACAAATAATAAGCCCACTGATTAGCGCTACCCAAGCATTGCAGGCGATATTTCCTGTTAATGTCTAGGTACGATAGTAGACAGCCTGCATTCATCAAAATTCTTTTTTGGAATTGTTTGGGCATGAGGGATATTCCCAAAAAACGGGAATTTCATCAAGCTCTTTTGGATGAAGGTATAGATGTGGCCTTGCTTCAGGAAACGTTGCTTAATCCGGGAGATCCTTTAGCTCTCCCGAATTATGATGTTATCCGAGGTGACAGATTGAATGGTCGAGGCGGTGGTTTAGCAGTGTTGATTAAGCGCGGTATAGACTATTATAGAAGCACTAATGCGGAGATGCATAGCATCGAAGCAGCTTCTGTGGTGGTCAATATGGCGGGAGGTGTCTCGTTGAAGACCACATCGGTGTATGTCAGATGTGGTGCCAGGTTGCAAGAGGCGGATCTGGAGGTCCTTTTAGACTACTCGGGTCCGCTTATTGTGGCAGGGGACTTCAACTGCAAACATCGGGCATGGAATTCTAGGTTGAATTCCACTAGTGGGGTTCGATTGTACAACCATGTGATGAGAAATGGCTACCTTATATAAAGCACTGAAGAGCCGAAACATCATCCATTGAACCATCTTCAGGCACCAGATGTCATCGATTTCGCGATATCCAAAAACTGTAGATACAGTATCTCTTCTCGAATCTTGTATGATATCTCTAGTGACCATCTACCTATTGTCTTGGATGTGGGCAATGAGCAAACTTCTGAGGAGGCAGCTCCTCCAAGGAAACGCATTGATTGGGACCTATACAAGTTGCTCCTTAGAGAGTTTCCCAATATCCCGATTATAGATGATGAGTCTGGAATAGATGCCGCTCAAGCGGAGTGGACAAGTTTCATTCAAGCAGCTCTACAGCGTGCAGCTGTATTTCGTGTACAACGACACGGCGGACCTTCTTTGCCTGCGGACATTCGTCAGAAAATCTCTGACAAAAGAGGCACTATTAAGCAGGCAAAAAGGTCTTGTCATCCTGATGACATTCGTAGGGCTACAAATCTTGTCCATGAAGTGAGAAACGCACTGCACGAACTCCGCAACGAGCAATGGAGCGACTTTCTGGCGGGAATGCTTGATTCAAGTATTCCTCTCTGGAGGGTCGCAAAGTCACTCAGAAACGGGAAGCGGGAACAACTCTCACACATCCACGGTCCTGAAGGCATAGTCTTCAGAACGGAGGATAAGGTCGAGGTTTTCGCTGATGCCATGGAAAAACAGTTCTCTCCCAACTATGACCTCGATAATGACCTCGACGAGGAACGGCACATCGTACGATCCGTCAGGAGATATTTTAGGGCCAACGGCGTTAGCGGAGGCACTGAATCCTCTTCAGATGACTCTTCTTCAAAAGATTCGTCTGAGGCTCCACATAGCACATTAGCGGAACCCTCCGAGTTTCCACATTGCACACCAGCGGAGCTCCTAAGTCATATTAAAGACCTCAAAGTGCGTAAAGCACCTGGGGAGGATCAAATCACCAACAAGGCGTTGAAGCTGCTCTCGCCGAAAGCCCTGACATACTTGGTGACAATAATCAATGCGACGCTCAAAATCCAGTACTTCCCTGCTGGGTGGAAGACTGCTGAGGTCATCATGATTCCAAAGAAGATGGGTTCGATATTTCCTCAGGATTATCGTCCCATAAGTCTGCTGTCAGCTCCTTCTAAGCTCGCCGAAAAGGTGATTTATCGTCACCTTGAGAATTTTTCGTCAAATCACCATGTGATTCCTGACGTCCAATTCGGTTTTCGGTCCGAGCATACCACCGAGCTACAGGCAGTCAGGTTGGTGGAGCATGTAACCAGAGGGTTCACCCTCAGCATGAGTACTGGCATCTTGCTTTTGGATGTCTCAAAAGCCTTTGACAAGGTGTGGCACGTAGGCCTCCTCTATAAACTAATCCAAAAGGGTTTTCCTTTTTGGCTTCTAAAATTACTGAAATCCTTTCTTGAAGGAAGGAAGTTTCAGATCAAAATTAACAATGTTTTGTCAACAACACGGCCAGTATGGCCGGTGTACCTCAGGGTTCGGTCCTAGGACCAATTCTTCTCAGCAACTGTGAAGTCTACCTCTATGCTGACGACACTGCACTTGTCGCCCAGTCGTGTACTGGTGATCTGGTTCACGATGGGTTGCAGAATGCGGTGGACGAAGTTCTAGAGTGGGCGGAACGGTGGCTGATAAAAATTAATCATTCGAAAACGCAGGCTATTTATTGTACCAAAAAACGTCGCGGCCAGCCAGCAGAGATTCCTGTAGACCGAAATCGTGTACCATGGACAAACTCTGCCAAGTATCTCGGTGTCACCCTTGATAAAGGCATGACCTGGCAGAAACATACAGCATCCATAAAAACAAAATTCCAAATTGCGTTTCGGCAACTATATCCTTTGTTATGTAGATCCTCCAAATTGAGTTTGATAAACAAAGTTCGACTATATATAAAATGATTATTAGACCAGCCATTACTTATGCATGTGCGGCTTGGTGTTTTCTTGCCAAGACACACATGCAAAGTCTTCAAGTACTGCAAAGCGGAACTTTGCGGACAATTTGCAACGCTCCATGGTATGTCTCAAATGAGACACTACACAGAGACCTTGATATTCCTTACTTGAGGGATTATGTCAAGCTTCAGGCGCAGCGACGTTATAGTCAAGCGGAATCGCACAGCAACCCTCTGTTGCGTGACTCCGTGGACTACACAGTGGAGCAAGTTCGTAAACATTCAAGGCCACGGCTCGCACTGTAATCAAAAGTTAACGTGAATCTTTAGTAAACTCAAAGTTATACTCTAACAAAACCGAATCAAAAAATTTGTTGAGTTCACCTCAAAATTAATTGGTGTATCAAGTCAAAAAGCCTAAGCGTTTCCTCTTAAACTAACCATATCTGTTTTTCTTTGCTCTTCTCCTTTTTTCTTCTCTTTCCCTTTCTCTTTTTCCTTGACTTTGTCTGGTTTCTGGGCAACCAGGACTGACAGATTCGACTAACGTATACTTTATCTGAAGTTACTTGAAATAGCATAAAAACCTTTGGTCGGCGCGCCCTTTGTAATTTCATGACCTATCATAGGCGTGCGGTCATTTATTTAGAACGATAATAATAATGTTTTTATATCACAATAAATGGATTTTACTTTTACTTATTTTTTTGATTTGGGATAAAAAATACTTATATTGGGAGTTTAATTTATGTTGACTGAATGTTAAGAAATGGAAAAATTACAAAATTACAACGTTTGACATAGGAAAATATTTACATAGCAGGTAGGTTTATAAAAAGGTATATAAAGACTTACATTATAGGTATTTATATATCATCCTCGCCTTCGGAGCTGTCGCTAGAGTCATCTTGTAGAGGAATTACAACGGGATTTACAGGAGGCAAAACACAATATTCATTTTCTTTTTCAATAATATGCCTAGAACACTGCTTCCATAGGTCTGTGGCAGCAATATGAGATACTGCATCTCTTATTGTGGCCAATAGCGATTCACTTAATTGAGGGGTCTGATTATGTTTTCTTACTTTTTTTTAAAGCAGCCCAGACCAACTCAATCGGGTTAAAAATGCAGTAATAGGGAGGTAGACGTAATACTTCATGGCCATTTTGCTGAAGCAGATTGTCAACAACATACTCTTTTTCAAATTTTTGTCTTTTAATAAGATCCAATAATATGGCTTTGGTTGATTTTTGTGGTATTTCCATTCCCTTATCCTTCATAAAATCAATAATGTCTTGTTTTTTTGTGCCTGTATTCGGAATTTTGTTTTTCTGTCGGAAATGGTATGGCGCATTGTCCATAATAATCACTGAATTTGGGGAAATGTTTGGTATTAACTGCTGCTCTATCCACTTTTCAAATAAGTCGGAGGTCATGTCCTCATGATAGTCGGCACATGATTCTTTGATATTTTTGGCAGATAACAGCAAGGCATTAGGTATAAATCCATTTTCACTGCCAGCATGGAGAATAATGATTCGTTTTCCACGGTTGCATGGTGCATTTAAAATGCACTTGTTGCTGTAGTCAACCCAGCCGTACTGCACAACATCATGGGTATCATACCACGTTTCATCCAGGTAAATCAGATTTCTTTTCTGCTCTCTATAGATTTTAACTTTGTGCAAAAATTCTTGGCGCAATTCAACGATTCGAGACGACTCCATAATCACCATTCTTTTATTTAATTTTTTGTATTGAAAACCACACAATTTTACAATACAGTGCAGTGAGTCTAAGCATTTGTAATTATAAAAATCTTCAGGATAATTTTTTAATTTATCCCGTATCATTTCCAACGTGGGCACCAAATTTTCTTTATAAAATCCGTATATTATACAACGAATATCTTCCTGAAAACCCACGTCTATTCTTTTTAATTTTTGCCCTATGCGCTTTCTGTGGAAGGAATGGTTGACTACATCTCCCCTTTTTATAACCCGATAAATGGTAGACCGACTGATTTTTGTCAGGATACAAATTCTGTTTAAAATTTGATTTTGCGAGGAATCTGGATTTTCGTTTTTCAGACAATCATACATATTTAGGATTACTCTTTGGGTCTGTTCCTCTAAATCTTTATGAAAGAATTCTGCCTGCACTGGTTCATCAACCATCTCCTCGTGGCTTGGAGCATTTTCCCAAGGTCTCCAAAAAGCCATATTTAGGACACACAAGAACAATCAACACAACAATTAAATCAACAAGTAAACTGAGTATTCAAAAGTCAAAAACACACAAACTAATAAAGTCTATGAAAAAACACGGACAGACT